GCCTCACGGCGCTTCGCGCTTGGTGATGTGAGAGCTTGGTCCGGTGAGATCCCGGCGTACTCCGTGCCGGCTTTGTAGGGATGCGAGGTCAATGGTCTAACGACAACGGCATGCACGACTATGGGTACACCCCCCCGCCCGGTGCTGGCCATCGGGGTTGGGTTTTCGTCGCTTGGCAGCGATGTATAACAAGACGATCACTTCGTGAGCTCGGCACCCAGGTTGCCGCTTTTTTTTTTGCCTCAGTTTTTCTTTTTGCGTTAACCATGAACGGTGGTCGAGTGGATCATATTGTGCGGTGTCGAGAACCCTCACGCCGCGCAAGGGGGATGATCTCACCACGTTGTGTTAAATTGGTCAAGCACCCTCGAGGCAGTTACACGGTGCTTTTAACTGTCTCTGAAAGTGGAAGCACCAGAAAATAAATTAAGTCATACGCAGCTGTCATCCGTACGCAAGGAAGCAAGCACAAGATGCCGAACACCCTTAGCAGGATGCAGCGCACCCTTCATGCGACTCGCCGAATATCTCACGGCGCTTCGCGCTTGTTGATGTGAGAGGCTGGTCCGGTGAGAACCAAGCGTGCTCCGTCCCGGCTTTGTAAATAGGGATGCGAGGTCAACGGTGTAACGACAACGGCATGCACGACTATGGGTACACTCCCCGCCCCCCCTCTTCCCCCCCTCGGTGTTTGCCATCAGGGTTGGGTTTTCGTCGCTTGGCAACGACTTTGTAAAAGCCGCCCCCCCCGGTGTTTGCCATCGGGGTTGGGTTTTCGTCGCTTGGCAACGACGTTGTAAAACAAGCCGCCCCCCCCGGTGTTTGCCATCGGGATTGGGTTTTCGTCGCTTGGCAACGACGTTGTAAAACAAGCCAATTCACTTCGTGAACTCGGCAACCAGGTTACCGTTTTTTTTTTTTTCCTCCGTTTTTTTTTTTTGGCGGTAACCATAATGGTGGTCGAGTAGATCATGTTGTGCGGGGTGGAGAACCCTCACTCCGCGCAAGGGGGATGATCGCACCACGTTGTGTTAAATTGGTCAAGCACCCTCGAGGCAGTTACACGGTGCTTTTAACTGTCTCTGAAAGTGGAAGCACCAGAAAATAAATTAAGTCATACGCAGCTGTCATCCGTACGCAAGGAAGCAAGCACAAGATGCCGAACACCCTTAGCAGGATGCAGCGCACCCTTCATGCGACTCGCCGAATATCTCACAGCGCTTCGCGCTTGGTGATGTGAGAGGCTGGTCCGGTGAGAACCAAGCGTGCTCCGTCCCGGCTTTGTAAATAGGGATGCGAGGTCAACGGTGTAACGACAACGGCATGCACGACTATGGGTACACTCCCCGCCCCCCCTCTTCCCCCCCTCGGTGTTTGCCATCAGGGTTGGGTTTTCGTCGCTTGGCAACGAC